AGAATGAGTCATGATGATTGATATTGATAGACTATCATAGTTGGGAATAGTTTGAATGGTTTGGCACTTGTATTGAAATTTCGGGGGATGAAATTTCTTAAAGGGGAGAGATTATAGCGATTTTGGTTTTTGACCCAACCTTTGTTGTATCCTGGACTCAGGTATCGTGGTTTAATATTGTTATTTATATCTCTTTCCTTTTCATTCTTTGCGTTTGAGTATTGGAATGTCTTGGGCATGTTTGGGACAGGTTGGTTGCTAGTTGATCTAGGTTATTGTTGTCCAGAATTTCGCTTCTTCGCTTGAGCGAGCTTTGAGGGTTCCCAGCATTTTTGCAGAGCTGCAGAGATTTTGGGAGGGTAATGATCTTCGCTTAAGAGAATCTTCTTGCGCTTGAGCGATGGTGTGCATCTGTAAAACTTCTGAAGGTATGTACTCTGCACTCGAGCGACGCTTCTTGCGCTTGAGCAAGGTCACTTATTGTGTCTGGTCGCTCGAGCGATGACTCCTTCGCTCGAGCGAGACTCATGTATGTCAGTTCGCAGCAGCTCATTTTTACACAGAATTTTTGTATCTTTTCACTCAAACACCCTAAATCGGCTCTTTCCCCCTCTAAAAGTCGATTTCTGTCTACAAATACACCTAGATCTAAGGATCTCTCTACCCTACTTCCTTTGATAAAGAGTTGGAGCACCTCAAGAGCTACCATTCCATCCGAATAAAGTTTGATTTCGTCATTCTTGAAGTTCCTCCTCTTCTCCTTTGAGCTTCTACACTTGAGGTAGGGATATTCTACACTTTGTTATGATCTTTAACCTAGTTATTTGTTATTATGTATAAATGGTGAGATTTAAGAGTATCTTGAGTAAACTTAGGGTTTGGATTAAATTTGAGAAGAGGGGTTTCCATATTGGGTTACATAAATGACTATAGGGGCTTTGGATATGAGGGTATCTTGTGTTAAAATAGTTGATTTTGGCCTTTGAGTCAATATTTGAAAAAGGGAGAGACTTGTCCTAATATGTGTTAAATAATTATTTTCTGTAAATAATGGAATTGATATGAGGAATGTGAAATTTGGAGGATGTATGAATGAATAGTGTAGTTGGACTTGTTTTAATCACTCACCTATGAAAATTTAATGAATTATCTGTGATAAAGATTGTATATCTATTTAGAAATATCTGAATTGGGCTATCTGTAGATGATAGCTATGATTGTTGTAGAAATTGCATGAGGATTAGGTGAATTGAAACTAATCATTTAACTATGTCATTGAATATGACGGCATATTGAGACATTGAATATGTGTGATTGAATGTCATTAAATATGACAGTGTCTTTAAATACATTGTATATGTATAATGTTTTGGGAGGAGAAATGGGATTTACTCCATGTTTTGGGAGGATAAAGGGGATGGACTCCATTAAAAATTAAGTTAGCCAGAATATCCAGGGTGAAAGTCCCGAAATCTTATGTATACATGGATGCTGATCCTGCAAACACAATTTCCATAAAATGGCAAGATTGAAGTGTTTATATGATTATTATGTTGATTGAAAACCATTGAGTTGTAGTCTCAGTTAGGTTATTCCGAGAATTATAAACTTGGCCTATTAGTTGAAATGAAATGAATTAATTCGAAATGAATAAATGGGAATGAATCTAGATGTGAATGTCCGTATTGTGTGGTTATGTGAAGAAGATGTGTTTTGGTTATAAATATTGAATATATATATATATATATATACCTGACACTTATATCTTAGTTAAACCTCACATATTGTGATAGATTGTTTCTACTAGGTTTTGACTCACCTTACTTGGGAAACCATTTTCAGGTACTGGTGATATGCTTCCTCCAAGGACATAGCTTGGGAGGACTTAGGAGCTGGAGGCTCTATTTTGTTATTTTATGTTTAAATGTTCATTCAAGCCAAGGGTTTTATATGTACAGAGCTTATGACTCTCTTTTTATTGTAACCAACTAATGTCTTTGAAAGATGTAAGCATGTAGGGTATTTATTTTATTGTTATTAGTCGGTGTTACATGCTATAGATTTAGGATGAACACTTATGAATGTATAATGCATGTAAGATCTTTTGTAATACAAACTCTGATGAATGAAAATACACTAATTCTATTATGTTCACTTCTCTTATGAGTTCGATTATTTGTATTATTTTGGTGGCGTTACACGAACATTGTTTATTTGTTTGGAAACAGGTAACCGAACATTGTTTATTTGTTCAGAAACATGTAACTGAACATTATTTATATGTTCGGATCTGTTTTACTGATCACGTTTTGAAATTTAATTTGTATTGTTATTTATTTCAGGATAATGGTGAGTCAACAGTTAAAATTCTTAACATTTGCAGAAATTTTATTTTTTCAAGTTTGGGAATACAGACCCAAACATTACTTATTTGTTCGAGAACACATTCCCGAACATAGCTTATTTGTTCGGGAATGCAAGTATGAACATGAAGGAAACTCGCCATTTTTGGGTACACAATAACTCGATTTTGTTTATGACTCTCCCTTAATTCTCACCACATACACACACACACATCCATCCACACCGCCACAGTCCCAAGACAGAGATAGAGAGAAGAAAGAGAGGATATGTTATGGTAGAAACGGGAGCACATCAAAAGGCTATACCATGTTAAACAAGAGCAATTGATCAACAAGTCAGCATATCAGATGGCCCAAACAAGATTAAAAACAAAAAATAAAGATCTCTCTCTCTCTCTCTCTCTCTGTGTGTGTAGTAGTTAGTTAAAAGGCAATACCATGTTGTAGCTTATATGAACATAGACAATATTCTTCTTTTTCTTCTTCTTCTTCTTCTTCTTTATGGGTTTTGAAAAGGATGAGACTCTTCTTTTTTTTTTAGTGGGTTTTGTTTTGGGTTTTTTGAAAGAGAGGTTCATTTTTTTTTTGGGGGGGGGGTGTGGGGGGTGTGGAGGGTGTGGGGGGTGTGCATTCAATGGGTGAAATGTTTAAGGATAATTTTGGTATTATTTGGGGGGAGAAGAGAAATTTTAAGGCTTTTAAAATTTATAAATGAGGGTCCAAAAAAATGGGAGATCCAAAATAATTCATGGAGTATAGTACCACTCTAAATATTCCCCTTAAAGGAGTATCTTATTTACTATATTAACCCTTCATCTCTTGAAACTGGGATTACGCTATCTAGAAAAAATAATAAGAAGAAAAAAACAAAAATGTTAGAGGCTTCAAAAATTCTACCAAAAGTTTTACCAAATGTCTCACATGAGTGTGGGACCCGCATTATGTGGGTTCCATACCTATGTGAAACATTTGGTAAAACGTTTGGTAGAATATTTAAGATCTCTAACATTACTCAAAAAAGAAAAAAAAAAGTAGTGGGAGCCATATGAATGGACACAGCAAATGTAAAAGTTTACTACCACAAAATAATAATAATCAAAACTCTATATATATTGCCCTAAATATTGTATTAGCCATTAAAAATTTAATATTTAAAATTGTCATAATTCAACATGTCAATTTATTTAAGTTCCCCAACGAGCTTACCATATTAATATAGCATACCAATAATTACACACCTTAAATCATACATATTCTAAAAGTGTAGTTAAAAACCATTTTTGTGGCAAAAGCAGCTTTAAGAGTAATGGTAAATTTGACATAATTGTTATTAGAATATGATTAAACATAACCATTTGAAGGGATGTGTTACCGCTATATGACAATATCGAGTGCGGTTAGAACCATTCGGCGCCAAAATACACTAGAAATGTCACTTATTAAATATGTCTTTTTTTGTAATTATGGTTTTGCCAATTCGTTAATTATGTTATCTTTTTGTCTCTTCGTTAATTCTGTTATCCTTTCATTATTATTTGAATCACAAAGCAATTATTATCATCCTTCCGGACAATAAGTTTTTAATTTGTCTTTATCACCACAACAAAATAAATATTACTTCGAGACTGTTATTTTGGTTTTTGTTTTTTTAATAACAATTTGAACTATTAAGAAACTGTAGTCATCAATTATATTGTTTGAATTGGTAATAATATTTAGTACTCTTTCCGTACCAAAAAAGTTCTAATTTGTCATCAGCGTAACGACATATTTTTATTCCTTTAAGAATATCTGCTAATTTTTTTTTGTTTTTGTTTTTTCATTACTATTTGGACCATTAAGAAATACAATCATCATCTTTCAATTAATTTGTCTTTGTCTTCATAAACAATTAGTTATATTTCATTTCATATATTTTTATGCTTAATTGTGATAAGAAGCTTTCTACCATAATTAACATAAGCAAGTACATTATGCTGATTAAAGTAAAAAAAATAAAAAATAAAAACCTTTGAAATTCTAGAAAGGGAAGTTCATATTCAGTCCAATTTTTTCATTTTAGTTTGGACTCCACAATTCCAAAACTTGAAAGTTCTATAGAATTAGTCAATTATTATGTAATTGAAATTCATGTCCAATATTACACTTTTTTTTTTCTTAATAGATTGTAAAATAGATAATGTTGAAAAAAAAATAAAGGTCGAATGTAATATTTCACATAAATTTGAAAAAAAAAAACAAAACAAAAAACTTGCAAGCTGGAATTAAACGGCAATTAAGTTATTCTGAAAAATAAAATTATATATACATATTTTGTAGACGTGGCCTACTTGAAATCTTTCAATCTATAACAAAGTATGCATTAAATATCATTTAATTATAAAATATTAATTTTTGTCTTTTTTGTTTTTTTGTTTTTTTTTTTTTGGAGGTAATCATATTCATACTTTAAGCATCTCACGCTCTAGTAAAAATTAGTGTTGCATTGGTATCACCTCACTACTAGAAAAGGGGTTTTTGCAACTAAATTTTTGCGACTGATTATTTGACCAAAAATAATATTTGCACTGTTGACAATTTTTTCTTTTATTTATTTTGGTGTTGATAATTTTTTCTTTTATTTATTTTGGCCTTTTCTTATACCTCTGCCCTAACCCTTTTCACTCTCACACTCCCGACTGATTTCCCCCAAATTTGATTTCGCTCGCTTGATCGTCTGAAGAAATTGGTTGTGATCGATTCTCAAGAACTGTGGGATTGCTTGTGATCAATTTCGCTCTATAGATCACCAACGGTATGAACTCTCTCTCTCTCTCTCTCTCTCCTCAGTGAGTCTCTTCGAATCATTCATTCAATCTAACTCTCTTTCTCACTGTAATTTGATCACTGTAATTCATTCTCACTGTGATTCGATCATTCATTCTCACTGTAATTCATTCAAACTAGTTTAGCTAGATATTAATTGAGGCAAACTAGTTTAGCTAGATATAATTGAGGTTTGTGTTGGTTGATTCCTAAGCAAATAGTTTAGCTGAATATTTGGTTGTTTTGATTGTGTATACATAGACATATGAATCTGAAGCAAACTAGTTTAGCTAAATATTACTTGCTTCGTGTAAATATATATATATATATATATATATATTTCCCTAATTCTAGTATTGAAAGCATGGAATTGAGAAATTGACAAGTCTTACCTTATCAACAAGGTCAATGTGAAGCCCATTTCTAAGTAACATGTCCATGTACTGTATCTGTCCTGCAAGCCCTAGAGAATGGAAAGGGTTCCATTTTTCCTGAGATAAAAGAGTCACAAAAGTTTATAGGATTAATTAGCCTATTAATCAGCAACAAAATGTGCATTTCAATTCCTTTTCACAGGAAAAATGCCGAGGTAGCAAATAAATACGAATGTACTCTTTGGTTAATAATACTAACCAAGAAGCAGGCAATACTAGGAGAGGCTACTGTCACACCCATGGAGGAGATGGAAAAAAAATTTATTCTATGATAGGTTGTTCATTACTTTGACCACTTACTGTTGATATTTTACCCAGGTTAGGAGTTGCATTCAGTTGTAAAATATCTCTTTCTTCTGGTCCCAAAAGCTATTCAACCTCTGCAAGAATTAGACAATACTCCAGTTGATTGATCTTTGCCCAATAGCATAGAAATTTCAAGTTCCTATATATGTACTAGAAGCACAAAGACTAGAATTGTTGTTGATTTCTTTTGTAGGATGAGGAAACATGCTTTGGTGCACTACAAACTCAAAAAAAAAAAAAAAAGGAAAGAGAGAGAAAAAAACCAAGCCACAAAATGCATTGAATGTGAGTATTACAAATCCAGTGATTAGGAAAGTCTATGTAAAATTTAAGTGATAAATGGTGACAAGTGGGAATATGTACATTTCAAAACAAGACAAAGTTATTGGTTGTTTTTTTACATGTAATTTTTTCTAGGGATCGACAATGGATGTTTAAATTGTCTTTGGCCAATCACTATGTGCACCACAAAACATCTCTTTTGAATATGATGAGCGTAAAGCATTTGATGCTGGATTTCTAATGAAGGCTACCCTATTGCTTCTCAAATAAAATCCTCCACACTAACATATAATATAATGATACGGCTTCCTTTTCTTTTTTTTTTTTATAAAGTAAACTTTGTACAGGAATATTACTAATGATGTTGTTTGGTGTAGCTGTTAAAACAGATTATAGATTATAGCTTAACAGATTATAGATTATGACTTTAATCAGAAGCTGTTAATCTGTTTGGTATAGCTGTTGGATTATAGATTTAATTTGCTGAGTAGTGTTTGTTAAATAAACTGTGAAGTAGTTTTTTCAATTAATTTTAATTTTTTATTATTCACTATTTGTCTACATTTCTCATAAAAAATAATAATAATATTTTATAGCCTATTTGGGTCTTTTTCTAGTTTTAAAAAAATAAAAAATAAAAAAATTTAAGAGTAAAACATAAATTAACATGTCCACAGCAGAAGCTGATAATCAGAAGCAGGGGGTGAGTAGCTTCTCAGAATCAGCTTTTTTGACTTAAAATAAGTTGTTAGAATCAGAAGCTGTTTGAAATAAGTTTAACCAAACAGTTCAAAATAACTTTTTAAAAGTCAGAAGCCATAAGTTGGCTAAAAAAAGCCCCACCAAACACCCCTAATATGCTCTCATTTTTATTGGTATGATGTGATACTGCTTCCTTTTGTGAGAATTGTTACAAAAGGGTCATGATGGAGTTCATGAAGCAGTCAAAGGTACTGTTGTGTTACCATCTAGGTTTTGCTTCTATGTGGTATGATGTGATGGTTAGACTCACAAATTTTCCTTAATGAACATGTTACACTACTAGAATTATGACTTTTTGTGTCTATTTTTTTGCAACTAATTATTTAGCCGTTACAAAAAAATCACTTTTTACATCAAAATCTCATTTTACTTGACCCAATAATGTTCAACTTAAAAATATAAAATAAAATAAAACCCAAATCATGTCAAACTTGATTATGCATGTAGTTTGTTTATTGGGGATGTAGAGTAGCTTAATTATGATAATTTTATGAACCTTGAGGTGGAGCTCACCAATCGTATACAAGATAGGAGTGTTGTTCTGATGGTGGATAAATGCATATGGTTGTACTAGGTCAATGAATTTTGATTAGAGACTGGAATTTTGATTTGTTTGATTCAAGCATTTCCTTAGATTTATTTGTCCATGAATATACAAGAGATTTGGGGATGCATGACACCTAAAAAGCATGTGGAAAATCGAGAGAAGATTTAGGATGCGTATGCGTGCAATTTCCATTGAGTCTTCAGTTAGATGTGTTCTTCTTCTACAAGGATTATGAACACGCCGAACAATTATATGCTTGAAACCAATGAAACACTCGAAGAAAAACCTATTAGGTCATAATTAGCAGAGAAGAAAAACCTGTGTTAGTTTCTGTATTAAGCACAACTTTTCATTTGTGATTATAATGTTCTATATGGCTTCAATCTTCTTAATAACTCCTATGCTATTCGGTGCTCATCTTGGTTTCTTTTTAATAGCTTAATTAAGTGAGCTATATTTTCCCACTCTGATTGTATCTGGTCATGATTCTTGTTTTCAGACATTACATGATGTAGATAACGTAAAGGTGGAAGGTGATAACGACATTAAGGATAATAATAATCATGTACAAACAGCCAGTGGTGGCAGTGAGGTTGATGGAATGCATGATTCTGTTTCTTCCCCTGCTACAGGTAAAGAGCTTATTGTATAAACTCTTTCTTGCACTAAATAGATAAGATAGGATTTGATTAATTTTTGAACTTTCTGCTTATTGCCCTTTTTTATATCCCATTCATGTGATTCACTCATACTCTTTGTGCTCAATATGCAGTGGCTCACTGTCAGATGATTCATGTCATCCTGAAACTTCTGTATCCAGGATTAATTCTGAGACTCAAGATGTTGTGATATCTTCTAATTTAAGGCCTTCAAATTGTATCAGGAAGGGATCAGCTGGTGTTGTGCGTATGATGCTTCTAAAATCAGACCAGAACTTGCATGCACCATTTACGCAAGTTGTTTTAGCTTCAGTAGACCAAGATTATTTTCCAGTTACTTTTTTTTAATCCCTTTAATTTTCAATAGAAACAATCTTGACTTGTTCTCTATGCTTGTTACAGGATGCACCACTTATGATAGAAGACATGCATGAGGAACGACTCAATGCTGTATAAGCCTTGGGTTCTTCATTTGTGTAAACTCTTCATCATATGTATTATGACTGTGGTGAAGATGGCCATTGTGGCCATGTTATTGATATGCATATACATGTACATGTTGATATTATGACTGCTATCACTAATTATCTCAAAGTATATTTGAATGGTTGCATCTTAGGTGTTTTGATAAAGTGGTTATCACTCCACTTGCATTAACTTTGATTCAAGTAAGGTGGTACCAGTTTACTTTCTATTAACGTTGATTTAAACCTTTCATTTTTGCTGATTTCATATATGGACAAGGGTTCTTTCTTTGTGACAGTGATTTATTATATGAATTAGTTGACGTAGACTGGGATGGCCTTGGATTTGCACTTACGCCTACTGATTATATGTATATCATGAAATGTTCACAAGGGAAAAGCTTTACTAAAGGTGAATTACAACGTTTCGGGAACATTGAGTTGAGCCCATCTGATGGGGTATTAAATTATGGGCAGGTCAGTTCTCTAAACCTTTAATGATATAAACTAGTAATTTGAAATGTTTGAAAATCCTAAGTGATTAGTGATTAGATCAAGATTAAAATATTCCAATTCCCAATTATTCAAAACATACAATCTAAATCATCAAGCACTTACGAAAGTGATTTAGATTGTTGTTTTCGGAATAAACAATAAATCAACACAAACGATTTTAACGTGGAAAAACCACAATTGAAGAGCCTTCGATTGTAATAAAAAACCACGGGCGAAACGGCACTAATCAATCCACTGCTGAAGAAAGAAAGATTACAAAGATAACATACAAATTACCCAACTCAGTCAATTTGTCTTCAAACCTTTTGTAACTCTTTCACCAAGCCTTCATCTCGGAACTGATCAACCTGAAGTTGAATCCACAACTTCACTTGTCGAATCAACAACTACGTACAGAATCAAACGCCTTTGGAACTCTACGTTTGAATCTTCGAAATCCACCGAAGAATAACACTCTTGTATATATTCGATCAACCTCCTTGATATGTGCTTCTCAATTCATGAGTTTAATACTCATTCAATTTTATCAAGGAAAACTCACAAAAACTCTCCAGAAGAAAACCTTAGAAAACCTCAAAGTAGATCTGAAAAGTAATCCTAGTTTTGGAGTAAAACAACTACTTATAGAAATCCTGGATTGTGAAGCTCGCTCGAGCGAAGCTTCTCTCGCTCGAGCGAGAACCTTAACCTGTGTGATTTCCATAAGTGCCTTCGCTTGAGCCACGAAACCTTCGCTCGAGCGAGCAATCAACTCTTTCAGGTTTTTATGCAGACGCAGTTCTTTGCTCGAGCCACGCACGCTTTGCTCAAGCGCACATTCATCCCTTTCAGGTTTTAAGCCAGACGCAGTCTTCGCTCGAGCGAGGACTTCTTCGCTCGAGCGAGGAAGACAAAACAGTAAGGAAATTTTACAACTCAATTAACAAAGTTGTTTGTGGGATTGACAAGATAAAGGGACCTAACAGTTCTTATAGCATAGACTTTGCCTTTTGAATAAATAAATAAATAATTTTTGAATAAATGCACTCTATGGATTCATGTGATATGTGAAATTGAAATGGGCATGTGTTTACTGCTTACCCCAAAAGCCATTCTGATGGGGTGAGCTTTTAGAGCTTACAAATTTTATATGGATTTCTCAAATTAGAATCTGGAATGTGATTAGTTTAACCTCTTTTTTTTTTTTCCAACCATTAGAAAATGCACAAGTTTTAGTTTCACTTTCAGAAGCCCGTTTGATAAGAGAATTGACCCATGCAAGGCCAAAACACTATCCTATTCATATTGGTCTTTGTAAATTGTATCTCATATGTTCATTGCCCTTTTGTCCCTCAAACATTATATCTTCGTAGGTTTTCTTTCATTAATCTTGATTTTGTGTCGCCAAAAATGGGACAAGGGCTAAGGTTCTTCTGATAGCGAATGATACCAATCATAACTCAAGACTACAGTTGACAACAAGCAAAAAAAGAGTCATATGGTTTGAACAGGTGTCAGCAATGCCCTCGGACACATACAAGGTTTGTGATCTTTGATATACTTATTCCATAAAAAATTTATGCTTTCATTTTATGCTTCTTCACAAAAAAATTTAGTTGCACATATTTATGAAGAAATCCTTGACTGAAGCCTAAGAGCATGACATGCTGTTGTAATTTAATATGAGATAAAATTCAAGAAGATAGCATTCTAATTGACACATTGATTAAAGCAGTCTACCCAGTGCCTCTCCATTAGCAAAGTAGTTTTGTAAATTCAGCTTGAGGGGGGCTTTTAAGATGCTCAAGAACATCTATATTAAATAGAATTGGATGTGTGTTGGGTGTTGATATGCATCTAATTATAGGATATATCTTAATTCCCAAATCCAAGGACATCAGGATATGGCTAAACATTCTTATCTTTTTTGTAATATTAGAAAGATATTTTTGTGTGATGGAGATTATTTGGCATGGGCAGCTGCTTGACATCAGCTACAGATGAATCTCTCTCTCTCTCTCTCTCGCCCAATTTTACATCCCAGCTACATTTACAATGTTTTTGATAAATTAACATATTTGGTTCAGAAGTTTAATGTAAGTGTATAATTTTTTTCTTTAGCTTCGTGGTTGGTTGGATTTATCTTTCAATCACTCCGTACCATCTTCACTTTTGATTCTCTCCAAGTATTTTAAAGGCCACTTTAGTTCTAATTTTTGTAATCCAAATTGGAAGCCACAGCAGTTTGTTTTAATCTATAACTTGGATTGCATTTGGCTTTTTTCCTGTTTTGATATTGTACACAGAGCCTTCACTGTTTCTGGAAAGTTAAAGCCGGAGGAAATCGTTGGGGCTACATTGTCTTCACTTTCAGATGAGTTTGTCGATACTGTTGGTGTCGTAGCCTTGCCATCTGAAGATTCTGTTTCAGAAAGGAGGAAATTGGAGTTCCTTGAAATGCAAGAACTCATCAAGGTTAAAAATGCTATCCAAAAAACACTAGAAGATTTGGTGAACATTGTGAATTGATAAGGTTGTTAGGTCACCAAACATCTGATCTCTAATTTTTCTAATTTTTTTTTTTTAGGTTCATTTTAGTCGCAATATATAGAAAAATTGTTGTAGTAAGAATTTTTTTACCTTTATGGGGTTGGTAACTTTTATGGGTATATATATGAGATAGATTGATATTTATGTTATGTGTTTAAATTAATTTGTTAATTTTATTTAATTTTTTATTTAAAAAAAATTGTTAAGTGCATGCAATTGATATTTTTGTTGTAACAAATGTATATATAATTTTTATAATAAATAATTATTTGCGACAAATGTCATTAAAAATTATTTGCGACGGTAACAAGATGGTTGCCAAAAAACACATTAACAGTTTTTTTCTTTGTTATTTACGATGGTGAAATAGCGGTTGTCATTAAATATAATTTGCGACTATTGCTTTGCTGTCGCAAAAAGTATTTGTTATCCCCACATTCGTGACTCCCATTTGCCGTCACATAGGCACCGTATTTCTATTATTTGCGACGGCTTATAGCGGTCGCAAAAAGTTTTTTTTTGTTTTTTTTTTTTTAAGTAGTGGTTGCAACTAAAATGTTAAAATAGAATAATTTGGTTCAAATGTTCTCTATGTTGTGTTTATCTTTTCTTGGTTCTAAATTGATAACGATGGTCCCGAGTTCCGACATGCATGCATATTTTGCATGCATGTGTATTGGTGGCATGTGATTTTTAACATCTACAGTACCATATTTAATGTCTCCATTCTTTGACAAAAATATGGCTACGACTAAAATAACTATACAAGATAAAATAGATTATTTTAATATAATAAGACAAAACATCACATCCAACTCATAATCATTATATTCTTTCTCTCACAAAAAAAAATCAAAAAAGCCAAAAACCCTTCCCAAACCAGAGTTTTTTAGCCTCAGGCTAAAATACTCGAAAAAATTAAAAAGTCAAAAAGTCAACATACTTCCCAAACGAAGTATAGGGTTGTTTACAGAGGCGAAGGGTTGAGGCCATTAGGCGTCCTGCCTATATTCTTGTGTGTTTTTATTTTACTATTTTTTTATTGTGTGATTATTAAAATCACGATTTTTCACAATAATAAGATCTAACTCGAGAGATGTTTAGAGTTAGATGTGCCTAATTCAAGTTTACTTTGGTGATTTGAATTATTTATCTTATAAGATCAGTTAAACTAGTTATTTACATAAAATTTCAAGTTGATCAGATATCAATTGTTATATGATTGGAGCACAATCTTATTGTAAAAATAGATGACAAATATAATTTTGAGATTAAATCATTATTTTTATTTTATTCAATCATGTAATTATTGATGTATGATGTATAGATGATTAGTTCAAAAAATCTTATAAAAGAAACGTTTTGAATCAAAATAGACCTATTGAACTTAACAACACTTCTTCCATTGAATTACCAACCGAAGAAAATGATCTAATCAAGAAATATTTAATAAGTAATGTTTTTTAATTTTTTTTTTAATTTAAGAATAAAAAAGCCAAAGTTAATTTTTTTAATGGATTTTTTTAATTATTATTCTTATTCTTCTTCTTCTTCTTCTTCTTCTTATTATTATTATTATTATTATTATTATTATTATTATTATTATTATTATTACAGTTTATGTCCATCTGTTCAAGAAAAAAAATTGCTAAAAAGAAATTTCTTTTTAATTATTTTTACTAAAAATAAAATAATTGTTATAAAAACAATTACCAAACCCAATGATTGAACACATGTACAAAGTGGACTATATCGCATATCTAATGTGCAAAGAAGTGGATATCCCTTTCATACTCTATGCAATAATTTCAGTCCTCCTTTGCGCTTGTTCCACCCGTTATTAACGAGCAAGGATCCTCTCCTTTTCTTATTGCTTGATCCCTTCCTTGCAATAGTCAAGATTTACTCTAAAAAAATTTAATGGTTCAGATCACTTTATTAAAAAAAATAAAAATTAAAAAATAATATTTTTGGAATGATCTAGTCCATTAGATTCTCTTAGGGTGAATCTTGACCATTACAAAGAGGGAGCCAAGTAGAGAAGAGAAGGAGAGAATCCTTGCTCGTTATTAACGGTCCATGTGATATATGGAAATTTATTTTCAAAATAGAAAATTAATTTTGAGTGTTAATATTTTGTGTAAAAAATTTTAATAATTAAAAAATAATACAAACAGATTTATTAATAGCTATTAAATTTTTGTCACTATATTTGATCTTATATAAAATAAACTCATAAAAATAATTTCTTTTAAAGTTTTTTTAAAAAAAAAGGTGTATTCTCCACTTGAAATCAAATCATCATTTGAATTAATTAAATTTATCAAAAATTATGAATTTCACTTGTATCAAAAAAAAAAAAAATTCTAAAAAAGAAAAAAAAACAACAACAAAAAATTCTATAATATACAAATTATGACTTGATTATAACCCATGGTGTATCATTTTAGTTATTAGTCAAAAAGATCTTTGCTAATATTTTAAGTTTTTGGTTATGTCTAAAGTGGTGCATCGGGTTTTTAATTATATTTCAAATGGTGTTTGATAATGATCTATTATAATATTCTTATATGACAATATTTAAGTATTTTATTACATGAAAAAATGTTTAAGGTGGGCTGACTCAAAGGTAGAATTTATACTTATATTAGTAAGATCGTAAAAATTATTTAGATTAATACATAAAAAATTACAAATTCAAATCATAAATAGTGTTCTCATAGGGAATCAGGCACGAAATCTTTATAATCTTAATAATTTCAGTTCTTAAAGTGGTTGTGATTATTTATGTAACACATCATAATAACCACAAATTTTTTATTCTAACCAAATTATTTTTGCATATCTTTTTTGGCAGAGCTCATGAAGGTGCATTATGAGTAATACTATAAATTCAAAATTTTTATTTAAAAATTATTCTAGAAATATCAATAGGTACCTCAAATATACACAATCATTTTCGATCAATCATTATTCTTTAAAATAATACTCCACACTATTTATAATTTGACAATTGTCAATTTATCTTCTAAAAATTTAACAGAAAAAGTATTGAGTTCCTTTATTTTAATTAGTTAATATTAAATTGGACGCTATACGTGTATGTAAATCACTTTTAAAAATATGCTGTCTGACATAAAATTACAATGTAATTAACTTTAATTAATGTAATGATATTTTATACTAGGAAAAATTAGTGAAATATCCCTCTCCAAATTTGTATAGTAGGAGAGGTCTAAGATGCTTTTTTTATTAGCTAAGGTCCTCAACATTTTCATAGAGAAAATTCGACTTGAGAAATTTTGCTCGACTAAGAGAAATTTCGGCCCTAGTTAAAAGAAATTTCAATTTTCACAAAGAAATTTTGAAATTTCTCTAGTATAATCACAGAGAAAATTCGAAAATTCTCTGAGTTAGGAAAAAAAATTTCTGAGTCGGGAAAAAATTTTCCGAGTCAAATTTTCTCTGTGAAAATATTGAGGGAGAGGAAAAAACTTTTGGTAGAATTCAAAAGGGTGGCAAACCCTGATTCAACCACCTAGGGAGACGTGCCAATGCTGACGTCAGGCAACGTAGGCAGAATTGAGTCCTATGAAGTGAGACTTCTAGGGGACAAGGGTACTATTGGTTATAAAAGTAAGGCATCCCCATGGATTTAAGGTACGCTTTTACTTGTGCACTGAATCCTTAATTTGATATCTTTGAGAGATAAGTGACTAACTTGATCGTCGAAGTGCCCCCGAATAAACGAGCTACCGTGGAATTCTTATCTTCTTGTTGGCAGCTGCTTGGTTTAATCTATTCTACCATGCGTCTCTCTCTAAGTTTCCTGGTTGGTGTGAGGTCAAAAATCGACACCCACATTTAGTATAATTTATATTTTATGCGATACTTTTTTGAATGAATATTACTATCTGTTCATTATGTTTCTTCTCATTTATGGTGTACTTTTATTGAAATACCTTGAATACACTTGCACAGAGACACATTTTTGGTATTTATTGAGAAAGTTACAGGTTTGATTTGGATTAGGAATTTAAATAGTGTTCATATACATTCGATTTTTGGCAAATTGTAATTTAAATTGTGTTCATATAAATTCTCTTTTGGTTGTAGCATTATCCTTTTTTATTTTATTTTATTTTATTTTTTTACATGTCTTACTTTGAGATATAATACGAAATGTTTTTTAATGGTACTTGTGTGGATGGCACTATGAGTGCTCCAATCAAAATGTAATATCTCATATTTTATTTTGTTTTACAAAATTCAAAATATAATATGTACATACTTGGTCTGAAAATCGAAAATATTATGTTTTGAAATGAAAGCTCTACCATACTAGAAATGATTTCAATTTTGTTGTTTTTCTTTGTAGTTTTTTAACTTAAGATTAAAATTTAATTATTTTCATTACTTCTTTAATTTCTTAGATTGCAAGAATCTATTAAATTTAATACTATATTTTGTTTATGATTTTAATGGATAAATAATTCAATAGAGAATGAAGTTTAAGATGGTTAAATGTAGGGGTGGGCGTGGGTCAGTTACGGCCACGGAACCTCCATTTCGCTAACTGTCCGCCAGATTGGCGGATTGGAAAAAACCAATCCGCATCTGTCCACCAATCCGGCGGATGTGGATTGAACGGATTGGCGAATGGATGCAAATCAGTTTGGTGGTTTAAAATTTTATAAATTTTCAACGTAATTCAACTTGTGTACTTCCTTTAAAAAAAAAAAAAAAGTATTACAATCACTGCATGCCTCATCCAAAGAAAGGAAGTTTGAAACTTCAAAATATTACAATAACTACATGGCTCATCTACATATTACAATCACAGCATGCATCATCCACATAAAGTATTACAATGTGGTTCTTAACATATAAAAACAATTGAAACCACCAAAACCATGAACAGAGCAGTAGTAGAGATCGTATGCCTCTGTATTGTTACATCTATATTTATTTTTAAAAATAAAAATCAACCAGCATATATCATCTTTTTTATTTATTATTTTTAGATTTAGATTTAAAAACCAAAAAATATAGATAAATAATACATTTATTTTTTTCAATTCAAAAAATATGTTCAAGTTGAAAACTCTTTTTCAATTGAAAACACAAACAGAATATCTAAATAA